CTTCAAACACTACATCAACTTGGTGAGAGATGTACGAGGGATTGCTAACTAGTATACAAACAACTAGTGGAGAGATGAGTGAGTTTTTATTGACAATAGGTCTACATTAGGGGTCAGCATTGAGCCCATATTGTTGGAATTATGTCCTTTCAAGGCTTTAAAATTCCGACATTTGAATAGCTCTTAACTTTAGTGGGAGTATTAGAGCAACATGACTCTAGGATCTTGGCGTGGGACCAAGAGTCATAGAACCCCGAGTGAGTTATGAGGAGGATTTGTATGGGTTGCAGGTTACTTCTTTGTCAAGGTCGGTTGTTATGACTGAGCCTCATGATTGTGTGATGGGCCAAGGCGATGTGATTTATATGATTGATGATATAAGCTCAATGACAAAATAGCCTTGTATGGGAAGGTTGGAGTAGATCAAACGACGTTGGCCTAAATCTCAGACTCTTAGAACCTTCTTGTAGCATGTGCATAAACAATCACAATGCATGGAAGGTGCTCTTCCAGGGATACATTGGTGAGAGGTATGCACCTGCCAATAGAGGAACCCCTGCACCATATGTGTGCATGTCCTCTAGGGGGTACACCTGGAATCCACAGCACTTGGGGATTCAAGGTCGCTCATTGGTTTGACTTTGATAAATCACATTATGAGCCCCTGATTATACACTATAGGTGATGAGTTTATTGGGTCACATCGAGAAGGTGGCTTCGGATTCCAGGTTAAGTTGAGTGGAGTACTCTGATTCCTAATTCAACTCCATAGGATCTTAATTTCCCTTGGAAATGTTTTAAATAGTGTTGAAGCGTTTGATTTCGATGGAAAATGATTGAAATGATTTTTTTGGATTTTGGAAATTTTTTTTAACAAGAAAATGAGCTTTTTGGAATTATTTTTGCAAAATGACAAACAATCTCCCTATGAAACACCCAAATGGCCTATGGGTGTGCACGTCGTGCCACCGGGGTCCACATCAGCCCCACATGGAGGTGATGTGGGGTGACATCAACCCCCCATGGAGACCCCCTTGTCCTTTGTGTATTTGTTATTTAATGTTAAGGGGCATTTAAATGTGTTATTTTGTGATATTTTGGAAAATTAGAAAATTAATTTGAGCACATGTTAAATGTGAAAAGCAAGTGCTTTGTGCACATGTGTGAGCCTTCTAGAAGGGACATAGGGTTTGATATTTCAACTTAAACCCTAAAGGTATTTGAAAATTGTGCACTTAACCAACTAGCTTATATTGCGTGATTTGATTAGCGCCTCTTGCTCTTAAAAAGTGGAGGGAAGTTTCGAATTTGATTTTTGCTAGAAGTTGTCAAATTACCTCAAGGGTATTGCCCTCTAGCTTGGTTTTAAGTTCAATTATATGGAAAGCGCATGGGTATTTTAATATGAGAGAAATTGGAGTAAATTGTAGTTATTAAAAAAGGATAATGATGCTTAAATCCATACCACACATCTTGATGGATGATGGTGGATGGTGGACGGTGGGCTAGGATCAAGCCTATCTTTGTAGCCATAAGTTGATGACATGGAAGGCCTAGATTCATCTATCTAGAAGCATCTATATACTTGGTGGCTAGAGGCCTATAAATACCCTCTTAAGCCATGCATTTCATTCACTTGAGTTAAATCCATAGTTACCGGAATCTCTCCATCGACCTCGTGTTTCTTGTTCGGAAATCCAATTCCGCATTTCTGTTAGGAATCTCTATGGAAACCGTTTTTCGAAACCAAAGAAACTCGATTCTTTAATTTCAAAATATCGATTCAACACATCTTTAGAAACCATCTATTGGAACCAAGGATATTCGATTCCTTAATTTCAGATTCTCGATCCAACGCATCTTTAAATACTTGAACCCATTAATTGTGGGTAGACGTTCCCAAATATATCAAATCTGAATTCCATCAAGGATTAAATCTTGATTCCACATCAATTGAAGTATAAATCTTCCTTCGAATGCTTCTAATGGTTTCAGGGTTTCATTATTTTACTTGCGCCACCATGGATAGCCTTTACTTTAAATTTAAAGTATAACTAGTAAATACAACACATACAATTAAAAGTAAAACAATGGCATAGACATAATCCTATTTTGTCTTTATAATAATGAAGTCAAAATCACAATTTAGAAAGGGAAAAGTTTATATAGAGCCGAGGCTCTAAACCGTCAAGTTAGATCCTACCTCAAAAACTTCACTAAAAGAGATTGTTTTGATGCCCAAATATCCTCAAATTGATCATCTCGACATCAAGATGCATGAACATGAGAAAAAAATGGATTTCAAGTTTTGGAAATAATGTATTTTGTAATGAATTTTTAGATCATCAATTTTCAAGATTTTGAAGTTTTCATTGATATATCGATCTACACTTTTTGAAGCTTTAAACTTTATAAATAAAGATGAAAATATATTTTAAGGTTATCACAAATATTTCCGGTGTTGAAACCGCATTTCTTGACACTATTTGAAGGTAGGCTCTAATTCGATTGTTTAGAGCCTAGGCACTATACAAACTATGCCCATTTAGAAATACTTGTATTTTGTATATAATGACCACAAGTTCAATAATCAACACAATCACTTTAAAATTTAGGAAGCCTTCTATTAAAAAACATCCAATATAGGTTCTAAAGTTGATGGGGCTCAAGACGTGCTTGTGGCTTCCTTCTCCATAAAAATAAAATCTCGATTCCTGGTAGGGGTCGTCAAACGCCTTCCATGTTCCATATTATTGCAAATCTCGATCTCAAACTGGCATGGATCTCTGTTCCATATACTTCAAAAACTTGATTCCAAATATGTTAGAATAATGATTCGAAACAACAACATATCTCTATTCCTTATGTGTTAGAAACTCGATTCCTCATATTAATGAATCTCGACTCTTGAAGTGTTGATTCCAAGGGGTTGCGAATCTCGATTCTAAGGAAGACGAAATCTCAATTTCATATGTGGATGGAACTTGGATCTATTTCGGTCGAAACACGATTTTCAAAAACTAGGAATCTCATTCCTAGTGATTCCTATTGTATGGACAACGATACCTAAGATAGGAATCTTGTAGTCGGCCACAATTCTGTGATTCTAGTTCTTGAAACGATTTGGGTTTTCAAGTGTTGCCAACAACTATGGTTTCAATCTCTCTCTCTCTCT